GCCAGGAAATAGCTATTTTTGGTTTTTAATTAAACTTTTTTTTATTGAAGATTTTTTAAACTATTTTATTTTGGTATTTTGTTTAAATAAGAATATGGAGTTAAGCTTTACCAAGGGCCCTATATCATTTTTAGCGACTTTGGAAGAGTTATTTCTGTTTGTGGGCTTTATTACTGTGTTACAGCAGTCGGAATGAGTTTTAACGACTCCGCGGTACGACGGTACGAGGCGCGTGATAAACTAATATGATCTTTGGTATTCTGTGAGTATTTGTTGTGAGCGTGCGTTATAGTAGATCCTTGTTGCTACTTAATTTAATGTAGTTCATTAGAACGTAACCTCTGAAAATCTTCTTAAGTAAACTGTTCTCAGGTTCCTCAAGAATTTGATAGAAGTAATTTAGCTTATCCTATCAGATCGGTCTGAAATTAAGCCTAGGCAAGTAGGTAAATATCGTGAGATTTTCCGCGAAATTTAAAGTCTGTACTTTACTTATTTTGAATTTTGTCAAATGATCTGAAAATATCTTGCAATTTGAATTTTCTAAGAGCATAAAGATTTGGCTTTATCTATTCTACTTCATCCACAAAATCCTGCTCTCTAATAAACGATTTAAAGATCCTTATATTAACCAATAAAATATTAGAAGGGATAACATAAAAATAATCTATAAGTAAAACTAAGCTATTTAAAAACTAAGCTGCGATCATGTTGTAGCCAGTAGTGAACGTGTAGTAAGCCCTATTGCACCTGTAGACGATTTGGTATAGTAGAAGAAGTATTAGGTAGACACAGGAGTACAGTCCTACCTCTTCAATAAAAAAGGTCAAATGAGCAACCGCTTTAATATCGAAGTCTAACTTATTGATTTGCAAGCGTTAAAAATATAGGGAACTTGTTGGAAGGCAATTCATAGAACTTCACGTGAAAATACAGTGCATGTCACTTAAGTCCCGGGTTACATGGATGAAGAAGTTAACAAAAAAGCGGAAGAGCTAGCTCGCGGTGGCGCTGCTTTTCAGGTTGTAAGCATTGACTATCTCATATGTTTCAGCGACTTCAATAGCCGACAAAAGCCACCGTAGGGTCCTTGTTCCTTTCCAACATATTGTGCACCACTAGGCTTGTGTGGGGGAGATTGAATTGCAGGTAGCCCAAATTTTTACTTGCATTCTGCAGATGTGAACGTAGTATTGATGGTGTTAAAAAACTACATATGGTCGAATAAACTGCGAAGCACGAGCATGAGAGGCCGAAACGATGGTGTAAAATCCGGTTTTTAGCTTGAACTTTTTGAATAAGAGCAAGCATAGCTGGAAGAAAGTAAGAGAGTTTATTACATCAAGGATACCACTATTTAACAGCTACTAAAAAAAAGTTTTGTATGGCCTGAATGCCACATTTTCGATTTTAGTTTCCTTTCCAAATTATATTTTCAAACCACAAATTTTTTTATTAAAATTTTATATTGGTCAATTATTAGTAAGAAAAGCAATATTTTTACTCTAATCAACAATTTCGTTCTACAATCATGTACACATATACATACTTGTGTTAGCTCCACGTTGGTTTTGGTGTTGAGCAAATTTTCAATTCTGTTTACAATTTTTTTTCACTTGCTTACGGTTTTCCTTTAAAAAAATATTTTCTGAATTTTTTTTAAGTAAAACATTGAGTGATGTTGATGTTGATAATAAAATATTAAAAATTTTTCCATAGTTAGCTGCAGCTGCCACAATATGACTTGAGTTGGCAAATACAAAAATAAAAAAAATAAAAATAAAAAATGATAATATAAACCATTTCAACTCAACTTCGGCATGGAGGATGAAATAAATGGGATAGATAAGAACAATTGAGTTTCATAAATTTTTAATGATGGAACATATTTCTAGTTTTTATTTATTTACATATGTATGTGTACAATTGGGGCTTGCAAGCGCTGAAATGATCACTATGGAGCTCAAAAATTGAAAAAAATATTAGGTTTAATAAGAAATATGCCATTATTTTTGTATTAAATTGAAGACTTATTATCAACACTAGAATTTTCCAAATTTCATCAAATACGCATCGTTTTATCCAATAAATTTTCCACATTTCAAAGGTAATGCCATTTTGCCACTCTCATGGAAATTCTTACACTTATTGCTAAGATATTGGCTTCTCATAGACCACTTTTTTACCAGCCAAACCATTCACCTTAGACAGAAGCAGATGGTTATCACTTGGTATGCGGTGCGGACTATGAGATGAATGAACTAAAACATCCCAACCAAGCTTTTAGAGTCTCTGATTGCCAAAGCTGCATGCTTCTGGGCGATTGTTCCCTTCAGACGATACAATTGCTGAAAGCAAAGGTCCGAGTTATAAGCTTGGCTGCAGGCGTGCAGCTCATAGTGTATAATTTGTTTGTCAATCTTGTGAAAAACGTAAAAAATCCTTCCTAGGCGCCAACCCCGGGTTGGAGACCGTTTGTGAGCCGCAGTGAGCCTGCACTTCGATCGTGACTCTCGATGCTTTCCAAACAAAATGGAGGGACTTACACTTTATACTAAGCAGCCTCCGAACGGCTGTTTTTACGAAGAGCCTTTATATCATGTCAGAAATACACTCGAAGGGGTTGAAATTCCCTGCCGGGGGGTGACCGAAATTAGAAATTTCAACTTCATTTTTTTTTTACTATATTCATTTTCTATAACTTTTGATGTTGGTACTCCAGAATGTGAACCCGAGCCTTCCGTATGACAGTAGGCAATGCTAACCACTCGGTTTCCGCGGCCGTTTCTGTATCCAGTTTCTTTTTACTGGTTCCAAAATTTTTGTTTGTGCAAATTCGACAATTGGAACGAAATCGTAGAACATAAATTGTGCTTCACATTTTCAGCTACCGGACTAATGTTTTCGCCTTTATCGAACTAAAATTGTAGAATAAAGCCTATTTCCTCTCTGCTGGTGTTTATGTTTGACATGCCCTCAAACACTACTGAGTTCAGTGAGCAACACTTCTCCCATTACCTCTTTCAGTATAAAATATTTAAAATATTTTAACGCCGTCTAGCGGTTATAGAACGTGAAGTATAGATCGTTAAGGCCATAATGTATGACTTTTTACTAGACCAATATAATTTTATGTGCTATTTTGATTAAAATCCTGAAGATATTTCTTCATAGGTTTTCAGCTTCCGAAATATCGAAAAAAATGTATAATGACTCAAATGCTCTAGCATTTTTTTTTGCATAATATTGGGTTGCCCAAAAAGTAATTGCGGATTTTTTAAAAGAAAGTAAATGCATTTTTAATAAAACTTAGAATGAACTTTAATCAAATATATAATTGCCATTTTGTTCTATAACCTTTTGCCATCTTTCTAGCAAATTTAGTATTCCACGTTCATAGAACTTCTGGCCTGATGGTGCAAGGTCAGGGCTATATGGTGGATGCATCAAAAGCTCCCAGCCAAGCTCATTCAGTTTTTGGCGAGTGACCAAAGATGTGTGCGGTCTAGCGTTGTCCTTGTGGAATATGACACCTTTACGATTGACCAATTCTGGTCGCTTCTCCTTGATGGCTGTATTCAATTTGTGCAATAGTTGACAGTAAACACACGAATTAATCATTTGGTTATTTGGAAGCAGCTCAAAATATACGACACCCTTCCAATCCCACCAAACAGACAGCATAACCTTCTTTTTGTGGATATCAGCCTGTGAAGTGGATCGTAGCGGATCGAATGCATTGCGTTTAAGGTGCATATCACAAGCGTTGATTCGGTGTGTTAAATGAATTTCTTTCAATACCTGTGGTACCCAAATATCAAGCTTTTTCACCAGTCCAAGACTTTTTAAGTGATAATGAACGGTTGATTTTGGTATATTTAACTTCTCTCCTATCTCACGCTCAGTTACATGACGATCCAATTCGATTAATGCTTTGATTTGGTCATCATCAACTTCATTTGGCCGACCTGAACGTGGCTCATCTTTAAGTGAAAAATCTCCAGAACGGAATTTGCGAAACCAATTTTGACACTGTCTTCCTTTTAAGGCTTCATCACCATACACATCTCGTAACTTTTTAGCAACCTGTTCCGCGTTTTTTCCTTTACGGAAATAATAAAGTAAAATATGACGAAAATGCTCCTTTGTGGGCTCCATATTAAAATTGACGCCAAACAAACAAATGTAAACAAAATTCCGCGCCCTTTTTTTCTAAAGCAAGCTAAAAGTAACAGCTGATAACTGACAGAAGAAAGAATGCAATTACAGAGTCACAAGCCGTTGAAAAAATTTGTCACCGCCGACTATATGAAAAATCCGCAATTACTTTTTGGGCAACCCAATAACTTGCGCTCGGCCTCTCGGCACGAATTTAAACTGAATTTTTGGATTCTCTCTATTTTGTTGATGCTTTTATATTTGCATAGAAAATTTAGGGCAGTGAAAATTTCTGTAAAAAATAAAAAAAAAAAATTTTATTGTGTTCTATTAAATATTTTATGTAAATATTTGGTGTATATATTTTGTATAAATTAATTTTTCTACCATAAAGAATTATATAGTTAAAAAATATGCTGCATGTATGGCTTACTGTAGCAGTAAACAGTAAGCAGAAATGAAATAAACTGTGTAAAAGCATATACATATTTCTAAAATAATCTATATCCGTTAGTTTTTTGGTAAATAATATAAATTTAAAATATTGCAAACTTTATATACTTACACAAATAAATACACAAATATACTTACTTTAATAAACTAAATGTAACTAAACGTGTCTAGCTGCCTGAATGATTTATTTAATTTATTAATTTTTTTTTTCAAATTAATAAATATAATTAAAAAGTAAAAAAGTGTATATATATACTTGAACTTACTTGAACTATGTAACTGTTTGAGTGCATGTGAGCTATATACTAATAAAGAAATATATATTAAAAACTAAACTAACTTTCAACTATTTTTTTTCCTTTTTCTTCTACTTATTGCCTGCCACACAGGATCAAGACACCACCAAAGTGATACCCGAAGAGACCGATTTGAATAATTCAAAGCTCACCGTTGCCAGCCAAGATGAGGTCAAACACAATCAAACCAACGGCAAGGGATCGAGTATAGCGGATGAACGAAATGGCAAAGATGATGCTACATGATTTGGTATGCAACAACTGTGTTGCCCAAATGCATGCATACATATATAGGAATTAATTAGATACATACAATATATATGTATAGGATATGAGTGATATTAACTAAATACAAAAACAAATCAAATAAAAATAATAATAAAATAGAAAAAAAAATTTATTATAAAAATTTAAAAATTTTACTAAATTACGTAATCTCAACTGGTTCTGTTGCCACAATTTTACATTGTTACGGTTTGTAAAATATTTTCAGTTTATGCGTAACACTACCCACATTTGGAAGCAAAAACAAAATATTACTATTCCCTATATTGCATATGCATATTTAGTTACAAAATAATTGTATTTGTATAACATTTGTTAGACATAATGTTCATTATCTGCATATATGTTTTTAGCAAAGTGAAGTTGTTTTGTTTGATTTATGGTTACATATGTATGTATTTGTTAGTTTTTAGCAAAATCGAAAATCATTAACCGTTATTTTTATTTTATAGTTTTTATTTAATTTTCTGCCCGAGCAGCTTGTATTATTTTACTATTATGTTTACCATATATTTTGTTATTTCTATTGTATTATATATGTATGTACATATGTATGTATTAAAAGTATTTGCTAATTGTAAATCTCTCCTAAATATGTAAACTTTAACTATCGAACAATAAATGAAATAAAAATAAATGGAATTAGAAAAAAATTGTATAGGGCTACTCATTACGTGGTTTCAAAAGTAAAGTGGTGTATATTGGCATCAATCAAATATAACAGTCAAACCAAATATGTTTTGTTTTAGTTAAAAGTCAGGCATTTATAAAATTGATCGCCTAACAACCACACAGACTTGGCGAACTAGTCAAGCGATTGGTAATTTTTTGCAGAAATTTGAAGAGACTGGACTGTGAACAGCTATTGCAAGACGCGACTGTAAGTGAAAATACAGCCGTAGACCCGAATGTATTAAGAGCTGAGACTTTCTTATGGCACATTATGGCGTATTTTATCCAAATCGTAACTGAAGTTAGTACACATGAGGAGCGGCGCACATATTTTTCTTATATTCAAATGGTCATGCGAAATCTCTCCACCTCATTCTATGCCAAACTGTTCTGTTATCCCTCTTATATCGGTCACAACTTCTCATTCTCCGATTAGATAGTACTATGTTTCTTAACGTTCTCCTTCCAGGCAGGCCTCTCTTCCTTGTTGAATCGATGACATCTCGAAATGTTAATGTAGCTGGTGAAAAATGTTGTTTTATTTATTTTAATAATGAGTCCCGCGAGTATTATTATCAGTAACGAGATGAGGTGTCTTCTCTAACTGCCTTAAGTCGCTAGATTATCAGTCGTACCTCGCATGTGAATTGGACGCTTGAACAGCAAGCAGTGAATGGCGCTTTAAATTGGCGATATTATTTGGTCACATAGCGATTCGACACCGTTACATTTATTGTTATGGGGCGAAGGATCGTGTTAATGCAAGTAAATCTTTAACCCTTGAGCACTTGAATATCAACAAATTATAACTTAGACCCCGTCCAATATGTGCCGAAATGCGATCTAAATTTAAGCCAAATGGATTGAAGTTTGCAAAAATTTGCGAGTTTTTCATTTAAATGATTTTTACTACATCATTTCACATGTGATAAAAAAACTTAACATTTTTATATTTCAATTATATTTTTAATGTATTTTATTTACGTTTATTTTCGGCACCACAAAATAAACAACCCTGAATACAATCAGTTTTACTTAAATGTGTTTATTTTATTTTTAATTTGCAACGAAAATATTTTGAATAAAATAAATTAAAAATTGCGTTTTCAAAACAAAAGAAGTAAATTTTAAATTTAAGTCAAGCATCAAGCAAATTTATTTTACGCATATTTTACGACAAATACGTTTAATCAATTAAATCCAAAAGTCCCACCACACACACACACACACTTAAGACCACTTGCAAAACCGCTATTTACGCAATTTTACTGCACTTAATTTAAAATTACTATAATATTTATTTATTTATTTATTTATTTAAATCCAACCAATTTATTTGCAGCATTTTAATTACGGTTTTAATATATCGTTTTTATTAAAAATTACTGTATTTTTACAAACACAAACGATTTTGCCCATACGTAAGTAATTAAAAAGCCACACTTTGTATGTACAAAGTAAGTGTTAGTACATATCTACATGCCATTATTTATTTAAGAGCGTGTCGATTTAGTTTTTCCCACCTGTTTTTGATTTTTTTTTGTATTGATATATTGTAGTTGAATACTTTTTTCGCATCAATTTTCCAGTTGATTGAGTGAGTACATTTGGAATTTTTATTTAATTAAATCAATTTATGGGAATTTTAATAATATTACAGTATATTCGCCCGGCGAAAAGTGTGCGTTTACATATCAAATTAAGAGCATGTGTGGGTAGATAGGTTTGTATGCAGCGAAAAGCGGAAAGTTCAGCATCATCCATCTTTATCGACCGCAATGCTGTCATTTAAATAAAATTATGCATAAAATATGGCCTGGCTTGGAGTTATCAGTCCTTTTTTAAGATATAAATATTTTATTAAATTGATCTTTTATCTGCGCGTGAGCGTAATGCGTTTTTTTACATTAAGGGAAGCATAAAAATTCTAGAGACTTTCAATTGTTTGTTACAATAGTTTGATATTATAGTTTTATAGCCAATACAATGCCTCTCAAACTGTTGTATGGAAATATAAGAACTGCCAAAGCTGCTTTGCTAGCTCTGATCACCTCGAAAATTTTCGAGCAAGGAGCAATAAACGCGTGCGCGAGCAGTCGTTGCTGAAATGTTCGAACAAAATTTCGAGCTTTACATATAAATATATTAATAAATAAGTAATAAATTCATTTATTAATTAAGCATTTCAAATTAGTTTATTTCTTCTATTTGCATACACTCTTCGTCAGATTCATAAATTTTTACAGTAAATACAATTTGCTAATGGTAACTAAAATATGATATGTGATATCGTGACTCGATGATGGCCAGTTACTGCAAAAATAGTGCTTCTTTCGTCCTTTCCGATTTCGTTGTTGAGGTATTGGGATGGTTACTCATTCATAAAATTGAAGTTTCGTGGAGAAAACTAACCAATGGTCGTTAATCAACAGATAACTGGAAAGTTTGTCTTAAAATCACTGCAAATGATCATAAGTAATTGAGCAGCACCCACTCGGCTATACAACAGCAGCGAACGGTGAATGATATATATGTATTATATTATATATATTAATTAGTTTACTGAACGTTTTACAATCAGAAAGAAAATTGTCCTCAACTGGTGTCACTGTCGATAAATATGAAGAAGGTATTTGATGAAACTAAGTTCAATATATCGTTTTGGTGATAAAATATTGTCACACCTCTTGCGCAAATATTTGTATGTCTGCATTATTTAACCAAGTATCCGTTAAAAGAGCGATGTTTTATTTGAGTATAACAGTATTTGTTAGGTCTTCTATATATGATCGAGTAACTTGGCAATTAAATGTATATAAGGATACAAAGCGGATATCGATAATGGACAATGGTGAATGTATATTCTGTACACTGCATACTCACTCACATATACCGGATGTCCCATTCATCATGTCGCTATGTAAACATTGAAAAGCGTTGTGAAAGCACAACCAATTTCTATAAGTGAAGCAATTTTAATCAGTTTGATTCCTTACAATTTCCTCGAACTAGTTTTTGAAAACCTTATCAATCATGTGGCTATCTTTATTAGAAATTACAATATGATCCCTTTTTTCTGCGCTTGCCATTACCTTTTCGAACATCTCGGGTGTTATAGCGCTGATTTCAGCACAATTCAGCACGAAAAATTGCAATGAATTGACGTTTCCAAAATATATCTGATGCATTCGCTTGGTTGGTGAATGTGTGAGTTATTCAGAGTTTACATACCGACATAAAAGATAAAGCACCCTGTATGTGGGTGAGCAATGTTCTCTCTCGCAGTCAATCTCACCTAATGCTGCAACTACCCAGTTTACCAGCCATAATCGCCGACTGTAGTAGAATCGACAAACACGAGTATTTTTTACAAGAAAGCCGGCATCCGCATCGCCAAGCGGTGGCAACTTTTCATTTATATGGCACTATCATAAGATGGGTCGCTATGGACGGTAGGTATGTAAAATGGGTAGTTGCAGCGTAAGTTATAAATTTAGCTATTTCCGTTGCAGCTCTCACTTATTATACATGGTCAAAATCATATAGTTCTTCTCTCTCAGTGACAGCATTGGTATTTTCCACACTCCCTCCTGTACAAACTAAATAAATATTTCTTCTCTCTTGTACAATACCCGGCTTACAAATCACTTTCAATGACGGTTTGACGGAAGTTTAACTTCAAAAAATTCCAAAAAAGTTTAAAAAGCATTTCTCTTAAAATATTTATTCGATTATAACTGTAAATTCAGTCCACAGCCATGAAATCATATCAAGAAATGAAAACCATTTATTGGTTAAAGGAACATTTTTTCATGAGAAAAATGTTTTATAATGTTGAACTTATTCCCTGTAAATTTTAATTATTTTGCCATTTCGCCAACTAAGTTTTTGCTGAAGAGACATGAAATGGTCTTGTTCAAAAGGTTAAATAAAAAGTTAATGCTACATAAAAAAAAAGATATTAACCAGCTTAATTTTTTTTTAATTGATTTGAATAAATATTTATATCTGATGTACAACTTTACTTCCGCTGTTTTCCGATAGGTGGCTGTACTGGGTGAGCCTGGTTGAAATACATAGGTGATAATGCCTTTAAAGTGAGTGTGGACAGTGCCTAACGAAATGTCATCGAAAAATTACAATTCGAAAAAAAAATGCAGCTGAAGAGCATTGAATGACCTCAGAAACTTACGGTGATGCTGCTCTGAGGGAAAGAACGAGTCGAAAATGGTTTCAACGTTTTAAATATGGTGATTTCGATGTCGAAGACAACCTTGGTGGTGGCAGAGAAAAAACCTTCAAAAATTTACTACGAGCTCTTAAAACCGGGTGAAACCATCACAGGAGATCGCTACCGAACGCAACTGATGCGCCTTAGTCGCGCGCTAAAAGAAAAGCGGCCACAATATCAAGAGCGACATGATAAAGTCATCCTCAAACACGACAATGCTCGGCCTCACTTCGCAAAAGTGGTCAAAAAGTACCTGAAAACGCTGAAATGGGAAGTCTTGCCCCACCCACTGTATCCCCCAGATGTCGCCCCTTCTGACTTCTACCTATTCCGTTCAATGGCACACGGCCTGGTCCTTCGAAGAATTGGAAAAATGGATTGCTTCATGGATAGCGTCAAAAGAGGACTCCTTTCTTCGAGCCGGGATCCGAAAATTGCCGGAAAGATGGGAGAAACTTGTCGCTAGCGAAGGACAATACTTTGAATAATATTTTCGCGGAAGCAAAGTTGTACACCTGATATTTTGCAAT